AAAATACTGATTGATAATAATTGTATTATTTATTGTAGTATTACCAATATTATTATTCATATCCTTATTCATCTTATTCTTCTTCTTATTATTGTTGCGCTTGACCTGTACCATCTTAATCTAACAAGTGCACTCTTGTTGCTGAGCTTGAAGAATATTTTCGCTAAACAGCCAAGTTTATTTTTAATTGGTTCAAAGTGTGTTTGTTGAACACTTCATACTGCTGCTCTACGCTATTCTATTTTAAGCATTTAGCCTCTGTAGAAGGTGAACACTTCAGTTCTTTCGTCAGGTTCCTTTTTTTAGCTTTATCCTCGTTACTGCTTCGAGGCTATGTCGCTGTTGCTCGTCTGGTTTCTGTTCTGCTACACAGGTACATTTTTTGAATTTGTATTTCACGTCTGTATTCTGAAAATACTGATTTTTAGATTTTTTTCAGTTGTTAGCTTTATATATTAAACATAAATGGTAATAGGTTTGTAATATTAAGTGCTTTAAACGCAGTTGTTAAGAAATTGTTAATTGTGATTGTCTCACCGGCTTTTGCTGAACTGCAATGGTGTTAACTGATAGTATCGTTATAGCAAAACTAAAGTGGGTGCTAAAGTTCTGAATGCCTTTGGCCGTTTTCAAAACTGTATTTTTATGGAAGGACATAAAATTTAACTATATATTAAATTGACGATTTCATGTTATGTTACAATCTGCTGTTGTTTTTAACTGTTTGTCAGATTAACATTTTTATAAGCATTTTTAGACATTATTCTTTACTTTAAAATTTAATAGCTTCAATTTTAACTTGACTTTTTTGTTAAAAGTTAGGGGTTATTGACAGTTATTTTCGATTAAACTTTCAAATTTACTGGGCTTAGAAAAAACGGCCGCAGATATAGATTTAAATAGACGACAGCCGAATAAAAAAGTCATTTACATTTTGAATTTTTAATATTTGTCAAATAGCTATGAACCAAAAATCTTTGTCATTGTTTATTTCTTAGTAATTTTATATATAACAGCTATTATAAAGCATATTTTTTGATTAAAGCAGAAAAAAAAACAAAAGAGGATTAAGTTGAAACAACTTTGGCAGCACTTTATTAATGTACTGAACAAAATAAAGTTCTGGAAAAGTTAGGTAATGATAGCTTTTCCAAGCTAAAGTTGCAAAATTTTTGAGAGTAATTAAATTTTTTGACGAGTACATAGAAGCTAAATCCTAATATCAAAATAAGCATTTTAAGTCGAAACAGTGTAAACGTAAACTGCCGAATGTGATTCTAGTTGACGATCAAAACTAATAATACTTGTTGGAACTTATTTTAATAATCGTATGTACAAAAAGTTATAATAACGAGCAAAACCTAAGAAAAAAAAAGGAGTAGATGACTGTAAGTTGAAAAAATGCTTTGAACAATCTGATTTAATCGTCTATAAGTTACTTGGTTTGGAAGTTATCAGCAGCACTAATTGAATACAGTAAATTTGTTTAACCAACGCTTTTGGTATCACTACGCTTTCTTCTTTTGCAAGTTTTAATATACTAATTGTAAAATAATTTTTTATTGATTAAGTAAAAAAAGAAAATTTGCAAATTTATTATTTATTTGTCATTCCTCAAACATACAGATTATAAAACTAGAAAAATCTTTCCACATATACAGCAGTTATAACGTTGAAAAGTCAACTAAAAAAGAAAAAAAAAAGTGTTGAGTACAATGCTCCTTTGTTTAGAAAAAAATTTGATTAAAAAAATATATCTATTTTTTAACTATACTAACAAAATGAAAAAGAAAAATAAAACTGTTAAGTTGGATGTTTGGGACGAATTGGTGAAATTGATGACAAATGTGATTTCAACAGTGATAGAGTGCCCTGTCTTGTGCCAAATTCCTTCTGTGTTGACGGTATCTGTGTATGTGCTCCGCTGTATCAACACATTGGTGATGAATGTGTTCCCCGTGATAGCAGTTAGTTTTGTTTTGT